ATGTGTCTATTCCATATATACAAAAATCTTCATGGAGAGTCCATCCAGAAACTTCATGGAGGACAGGCTCTTGGATATCTGGAAGACTCGTGACATCCTCAGCTCATCCGTGAACACTGACCACTGCCTGTTTGAGGGGCTGATAACCCTTCCCTAGGTGAAACCCTCTTCCCACCATTCGTTTACCTTCATTGCAAGCTCCCCACTCTGTGAGTCCTGGCAAATGTGTCTTTTTATTAATTCTTCCCTCCTTGCCAGGGCCAGCTCATGGGTGTGAGATCTGTATAGTCTCATAGGGCCTCACACTTAGGAAGACCCTGGGCTTGATTTGATGTTCTGCTGTCACGGACTTGAAATTCTTAATAATTTTTTAACACTGAGCCACAGAATCATGTGGTTGGACCTGCTCCTTGCTAGGGAGAAGAGACCTAATGCACAAGTTAAGAGTAGGTGGTATACCTGTGGTCCCTATTTACACTCAGCAGGCATTTCCTCATAAAGACAATCAATAATAGTGGACGAAGATGGGAAGAGCTCCACCTTCCTTAGCTTCAGGTTCTTCATCTGTGAAATGGGGACAGTAGCACTTACTCTTGCATGTTATTGTGAGTCCTGAGTGAGATCATATATGATAAATTCCCATCAGAAGGTTGGATATATAATAGGTGTTTGCCGTGAAAGACAGAAGGTATAATAAACAGAGTTTGCACGCTGGAGTTAGGAGCTGGGTTAGACTCATTGTGGTGATTATTTCACAGTATATACAAATATTGAATCACTATGTTTCATATCTAAAATTAGCATAAGGTTATATGTCAATTATATTTCAGTTAAAAAAAAGAGAATCAAATCAGCCCTACTGCTTAAAAAGTTGTATGACCTCAGCTAGATGATTTGGCTTTTCCCAGCCTTAATTTCTTTATCTGTAAAATGGAAATGCTAACATTTACCTTGTATGGTTGCATTGGGAAACATAAACTGATGAACAAAAACAGATCCAGAGACAGAGAAGCATTGATCAGACCATGAAACCTCAGAGGGAAGGTAGGGAATGGTGGGGGTAAGGGGGAGAGATCAACCAAAGGACTTGTATACATGCATATAAGCCTAACAACCAATGGACACAGACAACAGGGGGGTGAGGGTATGAGTGGGGGTGGGGGGCAATGGGGCGATAAGGACACATATGTAATACCTTAATCAATAAAGAAAAATATTAAAAACAAATAAATAATCTAATGTAGTTTAAAAACTGAGTGCATCACCTGTTATCTAGTAGGACCTCAAAAACAAACAAAACAAAACAAAACAAAAAACAGCTCCTAGTTTGGTTCCCTTATAACTCTATTTCTGCACTGATACTATACAACTTCCTAAGACTATATTACCTACTAAATGTAATATTGTATGTAAAAATAATTTTGTAAAAAATAATTGAGGATTATTTTTCTTTCTTTGCTAGATTATGAATTCCTTGAAGGCAGGGACCATGTCTTACTTACCCTTGTATCCTAGAACACTTTCTAATGTGTTAAATCTTAGTTGTATTAAATCTTTCTTCTATGGTTTATGCCAATAATGAGATAATTTTCATAACATTCATAAATTAGCAATTAATATTTAGTCTGTCAATGATTAGAAGTAGAATATATCCAAAATATATTATCTGCCATCAAAGGCCCTTTTTCCCCTCTTGACTATCACACTTAGCTCATCTTTTGCACCTTTGGGTCTGATTCTTGCTCCATTAACAAAGAAATTCCACCAGGCAACATAGCTTAGTTATGTGCAACCAACCACCTTCCCTGGCAACAACCTGTGCGGAGAGGCCATCTGGGGAAGTCCTTGTTAGGATTCAAAGAGGCCTCAGAACTGTGACTTTTAACCACTTGAGGATTATGGATCCCTCCAAGAACCTTCTGATAGTCTCTCCAGAAAAATATATTCAATATCTTGCATATAATGATAATGTCAAAGTGTCCTCAGAGCTTCCACAGCGCTTGTACCTCAGGTTAAGGATTCCTGTTACAGTAGCTTTGAAAACTCAAGAAGCTTTGGGAAAAATTGAAGTTTTCTGGTAAATTCAGCCCCAATTAATCACCTTCCCATGTTTAAAACAAAACAAACAGTTATAACTCCCTAGATTTAACCTCAGGGTTGTCCCTGAGGACCCAGTCCTGAGCATTAATGGTAAGGGCGGCCAGCCAACCAGTGACTGCTCTTTGGAAAACCTAAATTCAGCTGAGTAAAATGAAGCCTTGTTTGATAATATCGTTTACATTTCCAAATCCCGATATCGATATCAAGCTTTCTTCCTATCCCTTGTGGCCCTTCCTAAGTTTAGCTGCTGGTGTAATGGGGTAACCATGGCAACAACCACCTGCCTATTTAAAACCATCTCCAGCGCTAAATAAGGAAGCCTTGAGAAAATGGCTGCTTGCCTGCCTCTCAGTGGACAAATTGGGCACTCCTGGGTATGTTTAATGTGAGCAAGAACGGGTTCTCAAAGAAGCAGCATGGACTCAAAGCTCTTAATAGAAAGTGTTCTGGGACCCTGTGAAACAGGGCCTAGCTCTACACTGCAATGTCTTCACTTATTAGCAGGCACATGGATTTACATGCAAATCCCCATGCCTGTCATTCTAGGTCAGTGGTTCTCAACCTTCTGGCCCTTTAAATACAATTCCTCATGTTGTGACCCAACCATAAAATTATTTTCGTTGCTACTTCATAACTGTAATGTTGCTACTGTTATGAATCGTAATGTAAATATCTGATATGCAGGATGGTCTTAGGCGACCCCTGTGAAAGGGTTGTTCGACCGCCAAAGGGGTCATGACCCACGGGTTGAGAACCGCTGTTCTAGGTGATTACACTATCTTGACCTCAATCAGGTGAAAGGCAAGGCATGTACCTAACTGGGAAGGAAAAACAGTCATTCAGAGAGCAGTGAATTTGTTCATACTTTGCACTGAAATGCACAGTTATAACAATTTCTGACAGAGGCATCTTTCTCATTGTATTCAACCATGGGAATGATTGATGATTGCTCTATTTATGTCATATGTTGACCTATGGATTTTTGGAATATAGAGGACTGTCTTCCTCTCTGTGCTTCCTTGCTTTCTACCAGTTACAGAGGTTTTGCTTTTTCCTGAGCCCAGAGACCACACAACTGATCACACTGCACAGCTTGCTCTTGCCCAAACATGCCGTATTCTTGTATTTCTTGGTATCTATGTGAACATTTAGCTTTTTCTCCTTGGGTTGTCCCTCTCCTTTTTGTTAACTTAGAAAACACACACCTGTTTTCTGTGTCTTGGTTTGGGCATCCCTGTTATTGGAAAGCCCTCCACACCAACTTCCATGCCCTGGCTTTGTGCTCCCATAGGTCACCTGGATTCACACCTTTTAACGCAAAACTCATCAACATTTGCCTTCTAGTCTGTCTCCACCACGGGACTGAGAGCCCCTCACTTGTTTATTCAAAAGACTTCTGGCACAGTACCTGGTATGTGATATGTCTTCAATGGATGAATGAATAAACAGAAGCCCCATGGATATCACAAGCATGTGGCATCCTAGCAAGCATGTGTGCATGAGTCTGTGTATAAAGGTACCTGCATGAGAAGAGGACCATAAAAAAGTTTGGAGTGGATGGAAGAGAAGTACTTTTTTTTTTTAAGTGATTTTATAT